ATAAAAATCACTTGATAGAACACGAAGGGTTACAGGTTATGGGGCTTATGGGAGTGGGGGTGCGGACTCAAGTCTGAATTCTTTGAGCTGAACAAGGACATAGATATGGGAAATCAAGTTGGGCTTCCTCTACCCTTTGTCCCGTGTTTAGTTGGTTGTCTGTCTCTGGGTTATAGATCAGTATCTGTGTCTGTGAGTACAAGTAGCATGATCAACAGTATTCTGGGTGGATCACTACACAGAACGGAAGGAGATGATATGGATATGAGAATAAAAACATATTTAAGGAATAGCCTGGTGTGGATGCAGAGGTCCATACAGAGTTTTGAAACTTTTAAACTGAATTTTTTAAAAAGATGGCATAAAGTGGGTGCAAGGCAGCGCTGGGACGAATGTAGTTTTGACATTTGAAGGTAGGTTAGGGGGCACGGAAAAGACCTCAGAGGGTGAAAGTAAATCTTTAAAAAATTGGACTTTCATAGATGTCTCTGGAGTTTAGTTACAGTATGCACTTTTAGACACACAATAATGCTAAGAGAAGGTAATGGATTAGCTCTTAAAAAGCCAACTACCTCTCAGAGGACAGCAATACTAAATTCCCATCTGCAAGCATTGCAGAGATTCATTCAAAGTGCCAGGGGTTAGCTCTCTCCCATGAGGTGGGTCTCGGCTTGGGCCAGGCATTGGTTGGATATTTCCTCAATCTCTGCTCTATCTTTATCCCAGCACATCTTGTAGGAAGGGTGAATTTGAGGTCGAAGATTTTGTGGGTGGGTTGGTGTTCCCCTCCCTCCACTAGGAGTCCTGTCTAGTTTGAGGGTGGCCTCTTCAGTCTCTATGACCCCTGCTACTAGGAGGCGCAGCTAAAATCACCACCATATTCTCCCAGGAGCCTACCCTGCCGTACATCTCCAGCTTGTCTCAGCAATGCCCCTGCCCAAGGTTTCTCTTCTCTCTACAAGTTCTCTGGCTTCCCGCCCCCACTCTCCTCAGGTCTGATCTCCATCCTCCTTCCTCTTTTTATACTCACTCTCCTATCCTATTCCCTCTCGTCAATCATTTCCACTGTTCATTCTCTTTCCTCTTCTGAGTGAGATTTAAGCATCCTCCCATTGGGTCCTCCTTGTTACGTATCTTCTTTGGGTCTGTGAATTGTAGTATATCTATCCTATACTATATGGCCAATATCCACTTATAAGTGAGGGCATATCATGTGTGTCTTTCTGGGTCTGGGTTACCTCACTCAGGATGATGTTTTCTAGTTTGATCCATTTGCCTGCAAATTTCATGGTTTCCTTGTTTTTAATTGCTGAGTTGTATGCCATTGTATAAATGTACCATTTTCTTTATCCATTCTTCGGTTGAGGGACATCTAGGTTGTTCCCAGTTTTGTTTTGTTTTTTTTTTTAAGCTAAATACCTCTAGAAAATTTTAGCTTGGAACCTGTAATTTCTTTCCTCTCCACACTTACACATGTCTGTGGTTGAGTGGTTAAAAGGCCTGCTGAATTCCATTATGGATGTTGCTTTTGAAAGCCTGTGGTTAAGAGCTTAACTTCTGTTTGATAATGATGAGGTTGAATAATCAGGAGAACAGGCAGGCCTGCAGGAGAGAGAAATAACTACAAGAGGCTCAAGGAAGAAATTTTTGATTGTTTGGATCTATTAGCCACTATGATCCCTTCAGAGTCTTTTGGTTTTGTCCTTTGTACTTGAAGTAACACTTTCATGTGTGACATTTTGAAATTAAAATAATTAAAATGGTATATTTAAAAGAAGTAAAGGTGGTGAAGGATGTAAGGTAAAGGATGAAGGAAAAGCATTTGAAGTTAAATGTAAAGAACGTGATTGAGACAGGGGCTACCCAGCAGGTAGTTTTACCCAGTAGAAAAAACATACAAAGTACGTGTTATAAATATTAGGATGAGCAGGCCAATATTTACGAAAATCAATACTTTTTTTGACATTTAGATACAGCATAGGCACAAAGCACAGTTTCAAACACATTCCAATCTGCCAGCTTCCCGTGTAGTCATTTTGATTGAACACAGTCTCTTAAGCCAGTGTTTGTAAATGTTACCGCAAGCAAATCAAAGTAGCTGTCAATTTTTGAACACGTATCTGCGCTGTTTCATCTTTCACCTACCTCAGGCAACTTCCTCAGACCTCGGGAACTCATTCAGCTTTGTCTGCAGCCATCTTAGCTCAGGGCTAAGTTCTAGATCACAGAGGGTGCTTTAAGAAGCATCTTTTTACATTTTTTTCCAGTTTATTTTGTTTGTTCACATCATGAGACTTAGTAGCATTAACAACTTAACTTGCAAACCTAATTGAAAAAGCTTTTCCCCTCCAAATTAGGTTTGTAGCAAGAGCTGTCAGAGCGATGTTAATCAGCTGTGAATCATGGGTTACTTTGTTATGAAGAAAAGTAGAGAAGCTGGTTGTTGGTCATTTTTTAAATTCCGAGGCGTACTTTTTTGAATAAAAAAAAAATATGACATTAAATCAAGACACAGGCTCTTTTGAAAAGGCACAAGATAGATGAAGTATGTTATAAAAAATAAGTTATTATCGGAGGCAATTTGGGAAGTTTGAAATGTCCGTAAGCATACATGGGTTAGCTTGATGACTGGAAACTGTGGGTCTGGCTGGCTGGAGCTTGGGACAATCAGGCCAGCATGCAGCTCCTGAGGCAGAAAGCAGTGGGAAGGGGGGGGGTTCTCCATCAGAAAGGATCAGTCCCCTGATTGGAGTCAGCCAGAAAGCAGCTGCTATCAGCCAAAGCTGTGATGGCCAGAGGAGGTAGAAGCAACAACAGACGGCAGAGACAGTTTAGGGTGGGGATTGTGTTTAGAACTACCATTTGGAGAAAAAGAGAGAAGCAAAGCTGGCGGGGGGGGGGGCAGAGCAGAGGGCTTTCTAGTTTTCATTTCACACTCTTCCAGGCTACTCAACAGTTGGATGCTGAACAGCCCTAAGGTCAGCTTTACGACAGCAGGCCGCACCCTGCATTACCGATTTTCTGCATCAGTTACTTTTCTGGGTACTGTGACAAAACAGGTTAAAGACAGAAGGGTTTCTTTTGCCTCATAGTTTGACAGTAGGGAGGGCGTAGTGGCAGGAGCCGGAAGCAGTTGCTCACATTGCTGCTACAGTTAAGGAGCAGAGACAGATCCATGCTGGTCCCAGCTCTCTTTCTTCTTTATATTCAGTCCAGGACCCTACCTACGGCCCAGCATAACCTAGTTGTGAATGGGTCGTCCCTCCTCAGTTAAGCCTTTTGAAAACATCTTCATAGATATGGCCAGAGTTGTGTTTCCATGGTGATTCTAAGTCCAGTCAAATTGATAAGATTAACCATCACATGTGGTAATGGTTTTACATTATTTTAAACTGACGCCGGATGGGTAATTGAACATTTAACTTGCGTAAAGTTCAGCGTTCCTTTTAGCTTATGGAATCTTCATCCCCACATAAGGGCTGACATCTCTGTTTCTGTCTTTCTACCCTTAGGGGAGGGACTTAATTCCCGACATTGGCAGGTAGCTGCGGGCCCCAGCATCTTCTGCTGTGGACATTGAGGTATTGGATACTGTGTGTGAAGGGCTCTGTAAGGGCCCAAGCATTGCAAATATGGTACCAGCAGGTCTTGCTCTCTCCTTTGCTAAACAGCTAGATTACATTCCTAATGCTAGCTGCCAATGTCTAGTACCTTATTTGGCCACTTTCTTATTCCTGACTGAAACTCCAAGGTCCAGCTATGAAAACACCAAGGTCTAGTAATTCATTACACAGAATATCATGTCCAGTCAGGACTCACCAACTCATCCTAGCACAGACTCCCCCTTTTTCTCATTAAAAACCTCTCCTGCAGAGATACTGGCTGCGGTCTTTGCCCATCCAGAGGCAGCCCCCCAGCTTGTCCCCTCCGGGGTAATAGTCTCCTTTGTGCTGAGACCTCGGTGTTTGGTTGTGTTCTGTATTGACTCCAAGGCTCTTCCCTCTGAGTCCCAGGTCTAGGGACAGGGAGAGGGAGGAAGGAGTACATGAAAGGAAAGAGATGTGCCTGGGTGCAGAACAGTGGTTATGATTTTGCTGAGCTTTCCCTGGGGCTGTACCCTACGTGGGTGTCTCTAAGACCCTGGCAGGCAGAAGAAAGCAAGTTCCAGAAAGTTCTTTTAGCGACAGAAGTGCAATGGTGGAGATTACACAGGGAATCTTGATTTTGATTGTTTTTTTGTTTTTTGTTTTTTTTAACCAAAATTTCCTCTAAGTGGCTTCTGTTTATCCAGGTGCTTGTGGGGTTCTGCTCTCTATTGCGGCTCTGCCCCCAGCAGGCAGCCTCACTCCCAGCAGATGTTCTCCAGTAATTATAGGCTGCACCGACCAGAATTATGCCAGGCACACAGTCTAACATCTCCCTAAGAAGGCACTTGAAGTAACCCAGTAATCAGAAAAGCTATCTGGGAAATCCTGAAGTTACAGCTTCCTTTCAGAGTAAGCCAGGGCGAGGTGGGAGTTCTGCTGAGGAGCTTCCCCCACAGCGCAGGTGCTGTTGTTCATGTCCCCGTCCTGATGTTTGGGGTGTGTACCTGCATTGCTACACGGTAGATGCCCAAGGGCAGACATGCTGGCAGCTCAGTCCTGACACCGCTGTTGATCCATACGCGTCTAGGTGGGGAAGCTGATGGACAACCTCAGAGCTTTTGACGTAGTCTCCTCCCTCCCTTTCCCCCTTCATCGCCCAGGAGTTCACATTGATTGCACGCGAGGCACTTGGTACGGTTCACAAGAGCCCACAAATCCAGAGCGTCTGTTTTAATATATATATATTCCAGACTAGTGGGGAATGAGAGAAAACAATGGCTACATGGTATGAGGTATAGGTAACTAGGGGGCTTTTGACCCCAGCCTCTTGAATACCTCCAATTTCAATGGAGGTAGCTGTGCATCTGAGAATGGGCTGACGGGTTCTGCACTTGTCCGTCTCCGTGTGTGCAGGATGGAAATGTCTGCCCAGAGGTCGACTTCTAACAGAACATCGCTGCAGTCAGCATCTAACTCCGACTATACTTGGGAATACGAGTACTATGAGATCGGACCTGTTTCCTTTGAAGGACTGAAGGCTCATAAATGTAAGTCTTGTGCTGCTCCCTGGGGTAACTGTCCCGTGTTTGTATTAACCTGTGAAATCCCCTGTGATTTCTTTTTCCTAACACCCATCTTCTTACAGAATGGTCTTCTGTCTGTAAATACAAAGTGCCCCCTGTTCATAGGTCAATAGCCATGGGGTGATATGATATGGGAGCATTGGTAATTATGATTTACAAAGGACTTAAAACAATAACTGCTTGGTAGAAAAGTGTGAATCAGGGTTTTGCTTTAGAACAAGGTTTTTTGTTTTTGTTTTTAAGAAGGCATTAACTATTCCAGCTCCTGCCAGGCAGTGGTGGTGCACGCCTATCCAATCTCAGCACTTGGAAGGCAGAGGCATACAAATCTCTGTGAGTTCGAGGCCAGCCTGGTCGGCAGAGCTTGGGTCCAGTACAGCTGAAACTACACAAAGAAACTCTATCTCGAGAAAGAACAATCAACCAACCAACCAAACAAACAAATAAACCAGATGAAACAAAAAACTCCCACAAAATTATTCCAGCCCTCTTAAAGCATCAATGTTTGACTAACAACAATCAAAATGTGTATAGAAATAGGATCTAGAACAATTCCATGAAGACTCTTCTTTTTTATTGCCAGTTGCATCGTTTACAAACCCACTGGAAGGAGGAATAGATAGATAGCTCAGCTGAAGGCTCTTCCAGAGGACCCAGGTTTTACTCCCAATGCCCATGCGGCTACTCACAACCGTCTCTAACTCCACCTCCAAGGGATACAACGCCCTCTTTTTGCCTTCATGGGCACTGCACAGAAGGTGCACATAAATGCATACAGGCCAAACAGCAGGACATATACAATAAAAACAATAAATATTTTAAAAAAAATCTCACTGGACTTCCAGATCTGTGAGGAGCAGTGTCCACAGAGGCAGATGAGAACAGCCTCCCATCATACACCACGGCGACGTAGGCATCTGTTTCATTGCAGGGAACTGGGGTGGTCGGCCATAAAGCCATGTCATTCTGTGAACGTTCACTGTTGAACTCTCCTCAGACCCCATGCTTTCTGGCTCACATGATGCATTCTTATTTTGAAAGCAGAATTGATGTCGCAGGCAAGCACTGAGCCCTACTCTGGGTCATGCTGTAACTGTCTCTGCAATGTCCAGTTGTTTCTGGCTGAATACATAAATACTGCATATGTCTTACACTCGTTAAGGTTTATTCATTTGTGTGTGTATGTGTGTGTGTGTGTGTGTGTAGTTCCTCCAGAAGCTAGAAGAAAGTGTCAGTTCCCCTGAAGCTGGAGTTATGGGTAGTTGTGAGCTACCTGATCTGGGTGTTGGGAAATGAACCTGAGTCCTCTGCCAGGGCAGGGAGTGCTCTTAAGCGCTGAGCCATCTTTCCAGCCCTCCATTTTGGGCTCTTAGCTGATCCAGACCAAGTGGCACATTGGGAAATGTGAGAGATCAGAATCACAGGTGTAAAGTTGCAAGTCATGTTTCCCTCCTGTCCTCCCTTTTTCCCTCCCTCCCTCCCTCCTTCCCTTCTTCCCTCTCTTCTTCCTGTTGCAGCTGCTAGCAGTGCCCATCTGCTACAAGGAGGGATCTCTGCTTTTCTTCCTTAGGCAAAGCCACTAGCTAACTCACATATCCCTCACACTTCCAGTAATAATGAAATGCTTTTCTTGTTCCTGTGTTGACATCTGCTCAGTATTTATGGGGATGAAAAGGGAGTGCATGAACCTCTCAGGATATGCTGTCGTTAATTATCTGATGAAGGGTCTTGTGGTCTGAGTATGAAATAACCCTCCTAAGCGGACTAAGTTCTTTAATCTGTTGTTTTTAATGGGATAACCTCTAGGAAAGGACACTTGTCTGTTATGAATTTTGGTGGAAATTGGAAAGACTGGCAGAGTGCCATGTTGTTCTCTGTAATGTGAGCCTTTCCATCCGTGCCATGTCAGCCTGATCCTGTCTCTTTTCCTTAGCCTAAGGAGCTCCACAGACAGCCCTACTGCTATAATTTTTATTGGCACATTTCCAGAGACAACCAAGAGCTCTCTTTTGAACATTTTTGTTATAGAAATGATTATTGTTTGAAAAAAAATACTTCCTTTAAAAACCAAGGCAGAGCGGTGGCACATTGCATACTTAATTTACTGACTGTGTATTAGTGAGAACGCTTCTGTGTCAACACTAACATCATGAAAACATAAAATGCCCAGGTGAGCACTCACTGTTCTGAAGTAAGAAATATGACCAAAGTAAAGGCTCTTGGCACAGAAACCTGACAGTATATGAGGCTGAGAGGAGAGTTGAACATACATAGACACATACTCCTTGGTAAGCAGGAAAGTAAAATGCCCCAGGAATGTAACCACGGGAATGGGAACATCTGGACATTCTTTCATTTTGGTATTTTGCTTCTATTTATTTCTTATTTTATGTGTATTAGTGTTTTGTCTGCTCCTGTGTTTGTACACTGTGTGTGTTTATACCCTGTGTGCCTGATGCCTGCAGAGACCGGAGACAGACATCAGGTCATGTGTGACAGGAGTTACAGTTAACTATGAGCCACCATATAGGTGCCGGGGATGGAAACCTGGTCCTCTGCAAGGACAACACGTGTTCTTAACTGCTAAGACATCTCCCCAGCTCTTGGACTTCTATTTATTTAAAAAATCAGTAACACTTACCTTTAATATGACATGCTTCTTTACTGGGTGACCTATGCAGCTAGTTTGGCAAAGAGAATGGCAACAGAACGTTTTTAGAGGACACATATATTGTGGACAAGAGTGGTCATTATGGTCTGGTCAACTCCCTTTACTTGTACCACATTTGGCAAGAGCAGGTGCCTCCACAGATGAAGTTCTTCAGAAATCATGGTTTCTACTAAGAGTGGAAATTATTCATTTATGACTCCAGCGTGTTTCCGAGGCTCCTATTTTGCATGGCATCATATTATGAGGCAGAGAGGCAGCAGTGAGTCAAAACTTCAATGGCACCTCCTCTAACAGCTGGGATTTGTGGCATGCCATGGAAGGCCTTCCTGAAGAGATCTGAGGGAAGCATCTGGAGGAACTGGGAGACTGAGCCATGTCTGAGGGAAGAACAGGCTGGAAAGTGTCCCAGGCTGGAATGAAGTGGATCATGCAAGGAAATAGGAGCCCATCCCAGTGCTGGAGGAGTAAATTCTATAAAGAGTGGCAGAAGGCAAGTGTGGATATGTCAAGGAGATCATGGCAGAAGGGGAGTAGAGATCAGGCTAAGACTCTTGGCTTTTCTCCGAGAAGTCAGAAAAAGGTTGGAGACAGAGGAATAGCATCTGCCTTAGATTTCAGTGGGATCACTCTGACTGAGATTGACGTGAGCAATCTTAGAACCAGAGGCCAGGGGGGTGCTCCTGGTCACAGTCGTTGAGGTATGACCGTTGGAGCTAGGGTAGACTGGGAAGAAGCAAGTGCATTTCAGATGTTTACAGATGTGGGGGTCTCTAGAGTGTCCCTGGCTTGGTATGGGTTTAAGAAAACAGGCAAGGTTGCCTTCAAGCTTTTGTGAGTAGAGTGACTCGGGGAATGGAATTGCCTTTAACCAGGATGAATAATAGGTGTAAGGGAGAGATGGGTCCCAGAAGAGAGGAACATCAGAGCTCAGTTTTGCATGTGCAAAAATCAGGACACTACCCCAAGGCGACATCCAAGGCGACATGGGGGAGGAGGATGAAGGTTTAAACACCTTTCAAGGCTAAGAGGCTGGTAAGTGGGTGTGATTAGGAAGTGTGTGTGCGTGTGTGTGTGTGTGTGTGTGTGTGTGTGTGTGTCCTAGGATTGAGCCCCAGGTCACTGTTAACATTAGAAGGTAGTCATTTGTATAGTGTAGTGTTTATCTTGACACACACTAGAGTCACCTGAGAAGAGGGAACCTCAATTGAGGATTCACCTCTATCACCGTTTGGCCTGTGTGCTAGTCTCCCGGCATTTTCTTGATTTGTGATTGGTGTGGGAGGGGATGGCCCCGCCCACTGTGGGTGGTGCCGGTCCTGGCAGGTGGTGTTGAGTTGTATAAGAAATCAGGCTGAGCAAGCAAGCCGCCCAGAGCAAGCTGGTATGCAGTGTTCCTCCGTGGGTTTTGCATCAGTTTTTAACTACAGTTTCTGACCTTGGATTCCTGCCTTGATTTCCTCTAGTGACGGACTGCAGCATGTAAGGTAAAATAAACCCTTTATTCCCCAAATTGGTTTTTGTGAGCGTTTATCACGGGAGTGGTGGTGGGGAGGACACTAGCTCAGACATTGGTACCAGGAAAACAGAATGCTGCTCTTTTGGACCTGATTATGGTTTTTGGAGGACTGGGAAAGAGGATTTTGGAACTTTGGCTTGAAAAGCCATTGAGAGCTCAGAGCTCAGAGAGCTAGCTTGGAAAGTCAGAAGGTAATGCTGAGCACAGTGAGGGTGATGGACATCTGGATTGTGAGATTTCAGAGGGAAGCAAAGACTCTTTTCAGGCTGATTGTGTGTTACACCTGGATAAAAAAAAGTACAGAAGCAAAACCTTTGTTTTACTGAGAAAATGGAAGGAGGTTAGCTGGAGCTGAGGAATCAGCTGTGATTGGGACTGGCGTCACTGAGATAAAATCTGGGAAGATTTCCTCACGGCAGGCCACAGATGCTGTGGTCCAAGAGGGCCCAAGGCTGAGTTCTAAGTTGGCAGCTGAACTTGATAATGTGGAAGTCTCCCCATATGGTACTTGTTTTGAAGGCATGAAGCGATCAAGGAAATGGGCCGAAGCTTGGCACTGTGGGGCAGGGTCAAAAGGCTATTGATGAAGGTCTAGTTTCAGCTGTAGTGAAAAGCCCAGGATCGAAGGGGCCATGGAGAGAAACTGAGGCTCAGCAGCATGAGGCAGAGTCCTGAAGAGAGCCCTGGAGAGGCTGCTGGTGAAGGTGTGGCCCAAGTAGTGGTGACTTCAGGGTTTTAGAGATGCCCGGACTGTGGGAAGGCCAAGGAGGACAGCACAATTTCTGCTCCTGTGCCAGATAGTTATTCCTAGTTCCTTCTTTGCCAGCTCCCTGTTTAGGAGGTTCGAAGCTTGCTGGGGACCAGCCCACTGTTCCCCATGAAAGCTGCTGTTGTGGATTCTGAACAAAGAGATTAAATACTGAGGCTTCTCTGGGAAATTGGCTTTTAATTATACTAGCAATCTCAGCCAAATTCTTACTTCTTGCAAATAAACACCCGGAGAAACCAATACCGTAAAATGGGGCCTTTTGTGTGAATTTCACTTTCTGTCTTTTATATATGTTAAGATATAATTTCATTGGTCATTTTAAGTCCTTAAGGTGGGATTCTAAAAGTGGCCTGAGTGTGGAAAAGAGGGCTGCTCCAAGATGGCAGGATGTTGCAGAAGCATTTTGGTAGAGATGAAACCGCAGGGCAGGCTCTCAGCGCTTCCTTTAAGGTCTTTGGGGAGGCTTCTTCTTCTTCTTCTTCTTCTTCTTCTTCTTCTTCTTCTTCTTCTTCTTCTTCTTCTT